GGGTCCCCAGAAAAAAAAAAAAAAAAAAAAGATATATCATGTTCAGGTATAAATGTAATTAAACAAATGATGTATAATAGATTTATACTGGCCCTTTAATAATAAAGTCAACTTCAGCAAAAACTACACAATATATTTTACATGTAAAAGTCTAGCTGGACATATGCTATGTATGTGCATTTTTTAAATGGTAGCAAAGTTTTATTAAAGGTAGGAAAAGAAACAGTCTCTGCAGAGGGATTTGGGCCAAGTAAAAGTAGGAAAAGAAGTGCACCCTATGGCATGAGGGCAGAACCATATGCAAGAGAGAACCAGTGGCTCTATATATTTGCATATAAGATAATACACAAAAGATAATACCACATAAAGCCAATTTGTTCACTCTTTGTTATCAAGGAGAGAGATCTGGGTATAATAAATGACAGGTGATGATAATTAGCCTCTTTATTACTCAACCTGATTATCACAATAGCAGAAGTGTAAATTTTACTCAGTTAATACATGTAAACCTAGTTTTCATATGCCTAAACCCTTTCACATTTGTAATAGTCAATCTTATCCTTGAATATTTCCAGTCAATGGGACCTGCACGGTACCCAGAAAGCTAAAGTGGGACAGTGAACCACCTGTGATGTTGAAGCAATGAATCCATGGAGTTGTGGCTTATCTGGGGACACTCTCTGTTGGAAGGTTCGACTCACACTCTAGCTCCTATTCCAGCAGAACCAGCCTCTCAAACACAGATGACCTGCTTGAGTTCTGACTGAGAAAAACATTACCTTGATTATTTCCTTGTGTTGACTCTGAGATGCTGACCCCCAGCTGGCTGCCATATGAATTGATTCCCATCATGCCACTGTGAGCTGGGGAGCTGGACAGGGCTGGGATCTGGCTGGGATTCCTGGGCACACTGTAGAGGGCCTCAGCAATGTCAGCGGCTCGCTTCAAAATGATGTCCTACAAAAGGGCAGACAAGGGTGAGTACTGCGCCCACCATGAAGAGCCCAACTCAACAAGTACGAGGTATCGGGGTCTAACCTGGTTATTGTGGGGTGTGCCATAAAGGGCCTCCACTAGATCTGCAGCTCTTTTTAGCAGCATTTCCTGAAAAGGAAAAGGGAAAAGGGGAGGAGTACAGTCAACAGTAAAACTCAACATGACAAAGAAGAGAAAACCACAGATAAAAATCCAAAGTCCCACACATCCCCTCTACAAGTAAATAACTATCCAAGAGGCTCAATTAATTTGACAAGTACAATATAATCATGCATAGAAAGCTCTCTCCAAATATATATCTACACGAAATTCACAGCTGTAGAAGTTTGTGCTATCCCACTGAAAAAAAGAAGTCAGCCAAATTGAGGGTGGAGTTGGTTAAAACTAATATCATGGAAATTCTATTATAAGCTGCTTTCAGAGCATTATATTGAAAAACTCTGGTACTCTAATTAACCAAATACTCTTTAAATGATTGATGGGCCTGAGCTTAGCTGCCTGCCAAGGAGTTGTCCAGAGTACTGAAATTATCTTGGCAATACTTTCTGCAAAATTTTATTCCAAGAAAGATGAATTCTTTCAATAATATTTCCCCCTGTTCACTTTAACCAGAGAGAATTAGTAATCACTAATCCCTCTCCACTCATTTGGTCTTTCCTACCTCCTGTTTTTTACAGCCTTTTAAATTGTTATTAACCTACTTTCCAGATATCATCTAATTTAATGGTGGGGCTGGGGATTTTTCCAGGAGGATAATAAAGGTGTGATGGAGAAGCAACGAGTGCTTGAATTTTACTCACAGTGCAGAACAGAGAGTGAGATATTTTGTAACTTGTATGTTTACAAATGCAATGTAAACGTGCAACTGTTTCTCATTAGTTGCAATGATGTATTTTTAAAGCTAAGACAGCTAACATTATGGGTCAGATTTACAAAGTAATTTTCACAAGCAAGTTCATTGAAAAGTGACACCATTCACAGATGTGTATATAGAGGTATTTTTATCTTTATCATATTCCGATGTACATATTAGGCCTTTAATAAACACTTGTTTATGGGTTGGTGGCCCTGCAATTATGGGTAAAAAAATTATATTGAAATACAAAAAAGTGAAAGCTTACCCTTTTAAGTGACTATCCAAATACTTACTTTCATGAAATTGTCAGTGTTTCATAAGTTGAATATTTTTGTAGTAAATCTATTTTATAAGCCAAATTTTCAGATTTCATATTTCCTCAGAGGTTAAACATATGTCATAGTCAGTAGGAATTTTGTATTCATCTTGTATTTAAAGCAGAGCCAATTCAAGGCCTGATTAATTTTAATGGGAGTTAAGCAGCTGGACTTGTCTAATTTTGCTGAAGTTTTACAGAAAGATTTTCCTGTAAATCTCCAAAGCGTGTTACCTTTGCTAATCTCTCCGGATCTCCCGGGTGCCTGGGAATAACTTTCTGCAGTCTCTGGAAGCCATAGTCTATGGTGGGTTCATTTAACGCTGAAAGACAAAAATCCTCTCTGAGTCTGCATTCAAGTCGTAAAGCAAACTTGTACTTAAGTCTTCACAGGTAACAGGAAGTTGCTGTTGATCGCTGTCTAAAGAGCTGACACACAAGGGATGCAATCAGCTGGAGGGTTAATTCACACACAAATTTGGAAATTATAATAATTTTATGATTTCCCATTAGAATAACATTTTAAATTTCCAGAATTATTTAAATTATTTCATTATTTTTTCCTTAAGTATCCACCCCTATGATTAATTCTCTGCTCATTTTCAAGCAGTCCAAATATAGGATCATAGCACAATTTCTTACAAAGATAATAAACCACTTTCATATTATTTCTTCTTCTCTTCTGCCTCTTTTACCCAATCATAACTTTTCATCCATTTATTCCTCTAAATATTACTTCTGCTTAATCATTCTCTCATACACGTACATCCATGCACACATAAACATATGAGCTAATTCTCATAAACCCATTTGTTATGCTAAATACATGTTCACAATTTGCCATTGCATTTAGCAACCTGTACATTTTGTAAACGTAAGGATCCTTCATGATACCGCAAGGTCTGTGGGAACAGAACTCATTTTTCTTTCCCCACTGTGTTCACATTGTTTAAGACTATGAACGAATCCTCAATAACATGGGAACTAGCACAAAGAATCAACAACTGGAATCTCGTTTATTAAAATTTTTCTGCATTGCAAGAGAAACCACTAACAGAGCTAAGAGACAACCTACAATGTGGGAAAAAATTTTACCAGCTATTCCTCAGACAATGGTCTACTCTCTAGAATAAAGAACTCAAAAAAATCAGAACCCCCCCAAATATAAAGACCTGATTCCAAAATGGACATCTGAAATGAACAGACACTTCTCAAACGAGTAAAAGCAGCAAATAAATATATGGAAAAAAAATGTTCAACATCATTGGTCATTCAAGAGATGCAGATGAAAACAACGCTGAGATTCCACCTCACCCTAGAAAGAATGGCTGCTATCGAGAAATCAACCAATAGGGCTGGGGATTTAGCTTAGTGCTGCTGCTCGCCTCAGAAGTGCAAGGACCCAAGTTCGATCCTGGGCACCAAAAAGAAAGAAAGAAAGACAGAAAGAGAGAGAGAGAGAGAGAGAGAGAGAGAGAGAGAGAG